GTGCGTGCGTGCGTGCAAGCGTGTGTTTTGTATTGTGTACGTGTGTTCGCCCTCATATTTGGACATGGAATTCACGTTAGTTACTGCTGACGATGGACCTGAACAATCAAACACATCTGTCTATACGTATTGCTGACTCTGAACAATAACTTAACTCGACACAGACAATCAACTTACTCTATGAACAATTTAAACATCCCTCCTGCTCTGTCGGCACTATAGCATTTGAAGCAGTTAGCACTTACAATACATCCGTCAATGTTGACTATGCGGCCAGCTAACACTTATAGTGGGCAATTAATACTAACTATGGTCTGTCTTTATGGTAAATGAACTACTTATAACACTCACCTTGACCTGTGACTACTGATCATGAAATATAATTACTGACCATTAACTGTCATTTTTTACCATGTTCTGTCTTCACGGACTGTCATTATACTGACCTTCGACTGCCATTATTCTGACCATGAACTGGCTTTGAATTGGTATAGCAGTTCATGTACAGTGCAGAACTGACCATGAACAGACCAAGAGGTGTCACTGCTGACCGAGAGCTGGCCATGAATTGGCCACGAATTATCATCACTGCGCATTCTAACATCTGCCCAAATATGCTTGATAGATACACACCCATCGATACACAATTTTATCAATCGTTTACCTCTGCAAAAGTGACTTATTCAATAAACAAATTAGCACAACTGTCTCCTTTTAAAGCTTTGATAAAAAGAAAGATTTGCTCGTCATAGTTTATTTATACTCATTGGACACGTGTGTAAACAAACTGCTCAAACTGATGCAAGTGTAATCTTTGGCACATGTATGCACATAATAAGCAGAAATAATACACGAGTAAAAACATTTAAAAAATAACAATCAAGATGCTTTCCGTCTTGCTTATTTTCACAGGCGGTGATGTTAAACTACTTGGTGCTTATACATGACCTTGTGCAGTTGCGAGCGCCTCAAAACCTCTACTAAAACTAAAAAACCCAACAACACCAACCCTAAACTACTTGGTAGCCCCTTAAAGGAAATTCCTGTTATCCTCATGATGGTGGGCTTTCGTTTCTTACAAGAATGCCTATTCCATTCCAGGTTTCAAGCAGGTATGACACGTGGATATGTTTGACAGTTTTTCTCTTCGCAGTTTTCACAGCCCATCTCATAGAACAGATGGGAGTAATAATAGACAGCTTGTTCTGCTGAGTAAGGACAAAAGGGTGGGTTTTCGGGTAGGTCACGCGTGCTCTTTGCACATAAAAGACGTCTTAGGCATAAGCGAATCAATACACTTTCAAAACAAAACAAAGCAAAACAAAATAAAAAATTAAACGAACAAACAGACAAACAAACCAGCAAACAATTTTTAAAAAAAAATGGGACAAGAAAAAACCAAAACACCCTCCCCAAAACAACAACAAAAAACAAACACCCCCCCCAAAAAAAAACAACAACAAACAAACAAACAAACAAACAAACAAACAAACAAACACATAAATAAATAAAACAATTCCTTCCCATAACATATAACTTTCGATATAAAACAAAATTAAAAGGTAGCAAATCTTTTGGTGACCCTTGCTCATCATAAAACGATTGCGAAGAAATCCAGCTGCTTTTATTCTCACGTTCATGTCTTATTGCCTGCACAAAGAGTCTCAGTCAAATGGACCGGGAGAACAGTATTTCACGTCTTCATAGATGCATACGAATTGCTACAGATTTTTACTGTACGGTATTTCTGTCCCCGTGGTTGTAAGCACCTCGCATAATTTAGCGAAATTTGATCATTCTTTGCATAATTTCTGATTATTTTCCTTTATCATTCTTTGTTGAAATTAACAGAATCGAATAATTTCACATATTTGGGCTCAGTTTGTATAATTTAACTACAACAACAACAACAGCATCATCGTCATCTTCAACAACAACGGCAACAACAACTACAACAACATCAACAACAACAACAACAACAACAACAAAAACAACAACAACATCATCATCAACAACAGCAACATCTACAAAATGTACAGCATCATCATCATCTTCAACAACAATAGCAACAACAACTTCAACAACATCATCTTCAACAACAATAACAACAACAACAACAACAACAACAACAACAACAACAACAACAACAACAACAACAACAACAACATCATCAACAACAACAACAACAACAATGAAAGGATAAAAAAGCAAGAATTGTCGAAAGTCGAAAACAAAACAGAGACAAGACATATATATATATTACTGAACGATTAGGGTTTGTGAGACCTATCTCTTTTGTTGAAAAAAAAAAAGATATCATGTCTCCATTTTTATCGGGAACGAAAGATCCATAATTTAGTTGTATCATAAATTATCATAATGGTTTTTGTTGTTTCCTATATTATGCTGACACATAGTGTAGTATCATGGCATCCTTTTGAACTCCCCCCCCCCCTCCAACAACAACCCAAAAACAAAACAAAAAACAAAACAACAACAAAAAAACAAAAACAAAAAAACAACAACCCCCCAAATAAACAAACACACAAACCAACCAACCAACCAACCAACCAACAAACAAACAAACAAACAAACAACAAACAAACCCCAAACAAAATAAAAACAAATAAGCAAACCAAAAAACCCCCAAACCCAACCAACCCACATACAAAACAAAACAAAACACAACAACAAAACAGCGACAAACAAGCAACAACAACAGCAACAACAACAACAACAACAACAACAAAAACAATTAAAACTGCCTTGCTGCAAACGCATATTTAAAGTGCAGGCCTATGCGTAATGTTATCTTATTGCAATGTTTCCAGTTATTGTTCGCCTTCTGTTGGTGTAGTGATTGACTAATGAGCAGTACTTGCCGTGTCAAGCAGATTATTGTACTGACAGTTAATGCGTTACACTTACTTCGTTATATAGATCTAGTAAGAGACTCGCTGCTTCAACTTTGGATGTGTGGACCAACACAGTATAAGGGGGATACAACAAAGGAGAAGATAGACGGAGACACGGGGTAGAATGATTTGCCCACAAGGGATTTAAACTCACGTTTCTTGCCAACCACACAACGAAGAGCCCTATCCCTACACCATAGACGTCATTCATTTAAAATAAGGAGGGGTCAACCTTTACATAGATTAATATTAAACTTTATTTCCCTGGGGTATAAAGCGCATGAATGCTGACGTCAGTACAACATGTCATAGCAGTGTCCAGTGGGTGTCTATTTATGTTTTGATTTCTCACCTCTTGGACTGTGTGAATTCCCCAGTCATGCAAGACTATGCGACTGCCTTAATTAATTAAGTGATTAAACAACTAAAACAAGGCTTAACACGATTAAAACAAAATGTCAAATATTTGTTTTGTTACGCTGTAAGAACCAATGGTGCAGATGTGTAGGGGCCACGTCAATTTCTGTCCCTAATGCGTTATTGGTGCGTACAGGGGCGAAGGCTGACTTGTTTGACAGGGTAATCAAAGTGAAATGGGACCAGATAGGGCCTGGAGATATCACACTCACACAAGT